ATATTTAATCACTTAAAAGTGCCCTTTTTTGAAAAAAAGGTACCATGTATGTTTTAGTTTTAAAATTCATCTCTTAAAATTCCATGTCAAACTATTTTCTAATGTTTAAGCTTCCATCTTTTTTTTCAAAGTTAAGCTAAAAAAAAAAATTTAATTTGAGTATGGCATCGTATTGAAACGATAGTCGGTCTCCTTCGTTGGGACACGTCGGTTCAAACATCGGATCCACTAAGAGCCTTGACACAACCAGGTGTGTCGGAGAACATCTTGATTAAAAGGTGATTTTTGATGACGTCAATTCCTATCTAGTAGGAGACTTCTTCGAAAATCTTGAATATTCTTTTTGGTGACGTCGGTCCCTATTAGATATGAGACTTTATCAATTTATTTATTTATTATTATTTTTTGGTGGCCTCGGTCTCTACCAAGTAGGAGGCTTCGCCAAAATTTTAAGCACTTTTCTTTTATGACGTTAGTCCCTATCAAATAGGAGACTTCGTCAAGATATTTTTATAATTTTTCTAGCAATACATATTAAAGAAAAAAAAATATTGAAATAAAAATTCTAAATTAATCTAAAAAAAGACAAGGAATAAAAACAAACGAGGCTAAAATAAATAAACAAATAATAAAAGAAAAGGATAGGAAAAAAAATCATCCTATACCTAAACTATTAACCCACAACTTATTATTTTTATTTTTTTTATTTTTTTACCCATCTCTTTTTTCTTTTTATTTTTTCTTCCCTAATTCTATCTTTTTTATTTCTTTATTACCTTTTTTTGTTTTTTTGGAAAAGGGACACGGGTTGAGGTCTGAATTCCGGTCTAGGCCCCCTGTTTTATTTGGCGTAAGAGGCATAGGTCTGGACTGAAAACGATTAAGCCCCTTTTGTTTCTTTTTTTATTTTCATGGATCGGGCCGCACCTCAAGCCCTTTTGTTTTTATTTTCAGATCAAAACCAAAATTTTCAAGCTTTTAACCTTTTCTCTCTCATGTTCTTCACTTTCTCTTTCTATTTTCCAGTTTCCCGAAGTAAGAACTCGATTTCAAACAAAATGAGCCAATTAACATGTAACCTCCGTACTTCTATTTCGATCACAAAAAAAAACCTAAAACTTAAACGAATTACGAAACCAACATTTAAAATGTCAAAGCAAAAAAAAAAAAAAATGGAAAAATAATGAAGGAAAAAAAATGATGAACACGGACACTGGTATGCTTGGTGTTGATAATTGAAGAGAAAACGAAAAAAACTTGGATTGAAATCGACCCTCGAGACGGTTTTGAGAAGTTAAGGAACCGTTAATGGATCTTGGATGCTTAGATAAGTTCAAAACAGGGGATCAAAATTCAACAATGTGAAGAACTCAAAAAACAAAACCCGGAACTAGGAAGAACGGGTTCAACTACGCCAGAAAATGAAGAACAAATGCCCAAAATCTTCAAAGAGAAAACACTGTGTATGGACAAATTGAACCACTAGAAATCTAATAAACGAAGTTGAGAAACACCGTGGATCTAGAATTTTAACCCCAAAAAAACAAAACAAAAAACAAAAGGGAACGACGAGTTTTAAAACTCCAAACCCGGAATGCATGAACACCAAGAACACCCGAAACCAAAACCCAAAAAACGCAGTTGCTAAAAAAAATCAAGACTTTTGCTTTTAATTTTCACTCTCTCCGAACACGAATTCCTCCTCTTCCTCCTTTTTTCGTTATATGAAATTCAAAACGTTTTATAGAAAAAAGTTTCCTAGAATTTCTCCTAGAATAGAATCTCAAATCCTGAATTTTTTTATCAAATTTTTTCCTCTTTAATTCATGATTAATGCAAAATCAAAACAGGAAATTGCTTGATTTTCTGTTGGTATTAATTCCGTCCAATAATCATGATAAATGCAAAATCAAAACAGGAAATTTGATGGAGGATTTGGCACATTTCTCCCAAATATTTTCGGAGAGAATTTGCATTGGAGTGGACGATAGGTCGTCTTCTCCATTTCGGTCATGTCATTCGCTCCAAACTTCCAACTTGGTCCTCGTGCATTTCAAGTCCAGCGATCACGCCCTTCGATGGTATAATTTCAACATAATCTTATCAATTGGGTCCCTATAAGGTGCGATTTAGGGCCTAAATTTTTTAATTGACTCGATTACACTCCTAATTACTTCAATTGTATCCCTAAACGAAATTTTTTGTGTTTTTCATCATTTTTCTTTTTTTTCTTTTTCTCGATAAACTTTAAATTAAAAAAAAAAAACATACATTAAATAAAAAGTAAAAAATAAAAATAGAAATAGAAATAAAAATAAAAATAAAAATAAAAACAAAAAAAGGTAAATTTTGGGTTATTATATTATAAATGGCCTTCTCTTTTACTATTAATTACACTTATTGCCACTTAGTGGATTTATGAAAATCCACACTTACCCTTAACTCGATTCTTAAGCTTTTTTTATCATTTCATTTTTTTTTCGATAGCTCATTTAATGCTATTGTCATTGTCTTTTTTTTCCCCTTATTTCATAGGAGATGAGTAAATTACTATTCAAGAGAAAATTATAAATCGAGTCCCTCTTTCTTAAGAAAACAAATTAATTAGTCCATCTGGATTCAAAAACTAATACTTTTATCATTTTTGCTATTTTAATTTTTTTTTTTTACGTTTTGTTTTAAGAAATAGTAAAAAAAAAAGAAGATAAAAATATAAAAAAGATTGATGAGAAAAGAAGACATTTTAAAATAATAAAAAACTAAATTTTTCATGGTTAATATTGATTAAAAAGATTAAATAATTATTTTTATAATGAAAAGGACTAATTAATTCATTTCTCAAAGCAAGAGAGACTAATTTACAATTTATCTATCACTATTTTTTGCATCAACTACATGAAAATAATAAAAGTAATATGTAATTTACAATAATAGCAAGATTTTTGCAGCTAATAAATATATATATGGCGGTTAATAATGTTATATTTTGCTAGATTGCAATCAAAATATACATGTATAATAACCAGGAGTGAGGATCTATTTAATTTGTATTGTTGTTGTATGAGTGAGCAATTGTTAAGCAAGTGTGCCACTCGATTGAACCGTATGAATGTACATCTAGCTTGCATTGTAATTAATTATTGACGGTGTTTAGTTTAGGATTAATCTTTTATTTTTTTTTCAATTTTAAATTCAATATGTCAATAATATTTTTTTCTTCTACTCTTTTAACTATTAGCTATTAATTATTAAAATCAATTTTTGATTGCCTAATAAATGATTGTGGGTTGTTAAGTTTTATTAACTAAAATACTAAAAAGAAAATACTAATTCACAACACCTAATTGCACTACTCTCTATCACTAAATTCTACTATTTATTTTCACTATTTATTGGTTTTTTTTTCACATTAGTCTATCATGCTTTTAATAAAAAAAATTTAGTCCCAAATTTTATTTGTACTTGCCATATGGTCCCTAAATGCTTATAGGAGACATAAGAGAGGAGGGAGAAAGAGAGAAGCAAAGGCGATTCTTGCCACATCTATCATCGATATTACCACTAATTTGTTTGTCTTGAAGAATACAATGCGTTAGTGGTGGTTACAAGTCATGAAGTGGTTTGAAGAGGTATCCAAAAGTATTTTAAGTTGTTTGAGTTTGATTTGAATTTTTATATGTTTTGTATGCCTTAAAATGAATTTTCGGACTCTAAAATAGTTTTTGGACATTATTTTTGTGATTGTAAGTTATTTTTGAAAACAAATGGATTGAATTTAGCTTTAGGGAAGAACAAAACCAAAAACATGATTTTTTGACAACAATTTCATTGAACACTAGCTCGTTAGAAATTGCGGTATTTTTTTTTAAAAAATTTCCCGATAGGGTTTGCTCCTCCATGCCCAAGCGCGCGAGCCTAGTTTTTAGTCGGGCATCTTTTTTTCTTTTTTCTTTTTTTTTCTTTTTTTCTAAAAATTTTTAGGCGAATATTCTATACTCGTCGAATGCTTTTTTTTTCTTTTTCTCATTCAATTCGACGAGAAACAAATATATATAATATATTTTTATATTTTAAAACAAACATATATTTTAAATTATATTATTTTTATTATTTAAAATTTATTTCTTCAATTTGTCATTTCTTATAAATATTGCCATCCAATTAATTTTTATTTTAAAATTTTATTTACTATTCTCTATGTGTGGATTTTTAAATAAAATTTTAGAATGTGCTTATTTTATTTAAAAAATTATATAATTTATATGATGAAATCGTAAAATTTTAAATGATAGTAGCATATATGTATTAAAAAAAATTCAGAGAATGTGTATTATATTTTTGGAAAAAATAATTTACAAAATAAATTTTTAGTTAAAAATTCATGTATCGAGTTTTAGATTTTCTTTTTATATTATTACAAGTTTTTAGTTAGAAATCAAATTAATAAGAATAAATACATTTTTTTATAGAAAATTTATGAAAAGTATAATAAATAATTAGTTAAACATAAAATTTTAATAAAAAAATAAAAAAATTGAATATTTTTTTAATTTATGTTTCAATATATTTTGATTGATTCACGGTATAACATAAAATCTTCAAATTAAAATAATTTTTTACATTTTGTCTAATCCATAACGTTGCGGGGGTAAAAACCTAATCTAATCTATAATAAAAACACTTGATCAATAAATGCTCAAAAGACCTTGCACAAAATTTTTAGTCAGTAGGTCTGGCACCATTGAATACTTTACAAAATAAAATAAAATGCAATAAAATAAAATAATAATAATAATCAGATTCAATTGTCATGTATTGTAGTTCACCACTAAATTGTCACGTGTTCAAACTGAAGCTTACATGCAAGTGGACTCGATCGACCGTCATTTTCAAAAAATAAAATCGTCAGGTTATTAACCTTTATGTTTTCAAAGATTCTTAGTAAGTTCAGTGTATATACGACCCAACACAAATAAAGGCAGCGACGACCGCCAATACAAATGAAGGTGACAACCACGTTGCAGCTGAGAAAAACTCGGCATTCAAGCGAGTCGTCCTCTAGTGTTGATGGGTCAATCAGCATTATTTATGCCCAAAACTTTAGACCGTACACAATTGACGAGGAAAATGTAAAGTAAAAAAAAAAAAAAAAGCACTCTATCAGTTTACCCATTCATCTTAATTTTTTGTTATTTTATTAGATAGAGAAGACAGATATAGTTATTCAATAAATTTATAATATATATAAAAATTTAAATAAAAGATCATTTATTTAAATAACTAAAATCTTTCTATTAAAATTATTTTCTTGAATAAATAAAATTTAATATTAATTATATAATTTATTATGGTATTAGTATTTTAAATAGATTTAATGACCTATTAAAAATTTTGAAATGAAACAAATTTTAAAAAATAGAAAGTAGGTGAAAAGGAGTGCTAGAAAATCTATCCAAGTCTCAACTATTTAACTTATTAACTCGTTATTAGAATACTTTATGAAAAAATAATCAGATTCAATTGTCATTTATTATAGTTCATCACTAAATCTTAATGTGTTCAAACCGAAGCTTACATGCTTGGTGGACTCCACTATCATTTCCAAGATCACGAGTGGAGGCTTATAAATCACTCGTTTGATCTATATAACTATGACATCCATCGATCCAGCTCCCATATATACCACACCCCCATTTAAAATTCTTCAAATTGACCATTTAGCATATAGTTACTCATACATTTTCTCAGCCGAACCCTAGAAATGGAGGTGATGGCCAAATTGTTATCCAAAAGTGACACAACTAATAACCGAGCTCGAATTTCCGACCAAGAGATTGAGGTTTTTCTCTTGCCCTTTGGTCGGAATTCAATTGAATTTGATGCATTTGACATGCTAAACCAACCTTGGAGATTGAAGATATCGGTTCGCAACCAAGGTAAGTATCTAAGACCTTGGATATCCGGCCAATGGAGCACCTATGTTCTTCATAAAGGGCTTAGGGAAGGAGATAGAGTTATCTTGACTATGCATGAGCAAGAGAATGGTGTAAGAACTTATTGCATCAAAGCAGAAAGGAAGCATTTCGGTTTCTGGTATTCGATTGATCAATAATGGTTCTCTTTAAATCGGCTTATGATGAGATTGAGGTAAGAATATCTTTGTGAGAAAGTGCTGAAATCATATTCTAGTAGAATAGTGAATTAGTTTAGGATGAAATATGTGGATATTTTGTAGAATTAAAGTTGTATTTGGCATAAGTTATAAGATTAACTTTTTAATCAATAAGCTAACAGTGAAAATTTTTAAAGTTTGATTAAAAGACAATTTTGAATTGAATAATTCTAAGACTTAAATTTTTGAGTAAGTCAAGTTATTTCTTTTTTGTTTAAAATAATTAATAATTGTAACCAACCATACTGATTATTTCTCTTCAAATCAAAACTATATATATCTATAAACAACAATTACTAGAATCAATTTACAAAAGTCATATAAAATGTAATGTAAATGGGATCTATAATACTAGTAGTAAATAAATTGTCACTTAAATGAGAATTATTGCCTTTACTTTCTTGATGTATTTTATAATCTTTAGGATCAATAATCAATACATGCTCCAATATATATATATATATAT